TGTATGTCAGATTCCTTTCCCATGCCTGTGAAATTTTCCATTATTACTTCTACAAATAATCTTTTTAAGTCATCCATGTTGACTCCTGCTTTTTCATTGACATCTGTCAGTCTTATATTGTTTTTCTTTGCATCATCTTGCAGCTGTTGAACTGTTATTTCCTGGTTCCATGTTATTTTTAAAAGATCTTTCACTTTGCAATCAATAACTGCAATGCTGTCTTCAAGACCTGAAAGTCTATCTTCAGTTTTGTTTAAATGTTTTTGCCAGCTTTCAGTGGAATTTTTAATTTCCTGGATGTTTCTTTGAATCTGTTCCATGCATTCTAATTCTTTCCTATATTATTCATTCAAGGTTTCCATCATTTTTCTATGCTCCTCTTTTTTTCAAATCTATGTCTTCTTTAGATAGGCTAAGCAGTTCTTTCATTATGGTTGTCATTTCTTTTTTTTTTACCTGAGAAATTATTTTTGATCTGATTTCTTCTATAGCCTGATGGAGTTGTTTCTTTACTTCATTTGATATCATTTCAGAAATTTCAGGTGTGTGACTTCCAAGTTCTTCTGTATCGATGTCTCCTGGAGTTGTTCTGGGTGGGCTGGAGGTCTGAGATTGCATTTTGCTCCTTTGTTTTGACATGTTCTATTTCAAATAAAATTTTAATTTTCTTTTCTGAGGTGATCCTTGTGAGATTTGGTACTAGGTAGCTATATCACTAATATCAAGGCCTCTCCAGGAATAGTCTGTACTTCAGGGATATCTTCTGTGTGTAGGAGGTTCTTGATTTGTGTCTGTCCCAAGATCCTACCTTCCCAATTAATTGAGAGTGGGATGTTGCACCACTTTGGGATGTTGGTTTCTGTTTGGCTCAGTCCCTCATCTTTCGGTGTAGAGCTGTGGTGAGATTATTACCCCAAAGCTTCCCAATATAGCTACACAGTGGAGAACAACTGATTACAATAGATATGACCTCCTAGCTACAGTAGTACAATTAGGAATAAGCACAATTTAGAAACTGACCAAATGTGGTAACTATTGATTTTGTACTTTAGACCATAGGGGCAAAGCCTATAGTTATATAACAGAACTGATTGTAAATTATGAGTTTGTATGCAAAGCATTTGCCCTTGTTAGAGTGGGTTTACCCTGGGTTCCTCCAGACAAGCCTGTTGCCATGTCCCAGGCACTTACCGCACTGGCTGTCCAACCCACAGTGCAGGAGTATGGGCTGGGCACCAGGATTCCCCCAGACTGAGGCTACTGAAGCTCCTGAGTTTCACCAAGGCTAAGCATCACTCCGCGATGGTGGAGGGGTAGGGCAGAGTCTCCCCTCTCCCAAGAAGCCCACAGGAGCTCCAAGTAGAGACCATAGCCCTGATGCAGAAGCCTTGTGGCAGGGACAGCACCCAGCAGTACCAGGCGTCACACAGTACCTGTAGGCAGGTGGGCAGTACATGCACCAGCAGCACCAAAAAACTAAACTATAAAAGACAGAAATGTCTTGGTGTCAAATAAACAAAACTAAAACTAAATTTAGGAGTAAATCCAATTTTAACATAGAAGTTTCTTTCCACAAGAATGTAAAAATGAGGACCTGGGATTTAGCTGAGTGGTGCAGTGCCTGCCTGGCAAGTGTGAGGTCCTGAGTTTGATTCCATGGCAAATGTACTGACAGTTGGTTTCTTTTCCTTCTTCTTTTTAATCTTCTCCCCCATCTTCAGTGTCTCCCCTGCTCCTCCACTGGGGTCCTCTTCACTACCCTGCTGACCTAGAAGACTGCTGCAGCCATGAACCACACTGTGGGCCAGGTTGCGGGGAGTGGAGGGCAGGTGTTGGAGGACACAGCTGGCTCCACCCTTGCACTCTGAGCTTATTGGGGCCTGGGGGCCTGGGGTGTGCAGGCTGTGGGGTAGAGCAGCACGAGCTGCTCACAGCCCCTCCTGCACCATAAACCCCATCCCACCAGGAGGGATTTCCATGCTTCCACCTGCCCAGAGCCTCCAGGAATTGGAAAGCCCTGGTTACACAGCAATCCTCCTCCCTCAGCGTCCCAAGTGCTGGGATTACAGACATATACCACCACACCCACTGATACAACTGTATTTGAAGGCTAGCAAAGAATAATTGAAGGGAAAAATCATTTAGGACAGTGGTGGTAAACCTATTGCACACATACCACAGAGGGCTGTTTGTGTCATTGAAAGCTCTAAAAGGTTCACCATCATGGGTACAGGAAAATTTAAATGTTTAGCTTCCATACTAAGAATCAACGGATTTTTTTTTTTTTTTTTGTCTTTTTGAGACAGGGTCTCACTATGCAGTTCAGGCTGGACTTGAGCTCCCTTTGTAGCCCAGGCTGACCTTGAACTCACAATGATCCTTCTGCCTCAGCCTCCCAAGTACTAGGATTATAGGCATGCACCACCATGCCTGGCACCAACAGATATTATTTGAAACTGAAAAACAATATTCAAAGCAACATACCCAAGTTGCTGCCCAGTGCTTGCTTAATGAGCATATAAGCAAAGTGACCAGAATGAAAGCCACATTGAACACTGGTGAAGAGGTCTTTCTCATCTGTCCATGGCAAGGGTGAGTCTGATTCCCAAATTCCCTATCAGCAGCCACCCCACTCCCCTGGAGTCCTGATAAGGTACCACTCTCCCCCCATCTACCTAATGGCTACAGTTTGTCCTCACTGAAAAAAAAAATCACTTATTCTAGACCTGACCTTCCCTTCTTGTTCATGGTGTTCCATATCCAAATCCTCCATTGAGATGCCATTCAGTGGAAGAAATAAGGCAAGGAGGCTTTTCACATCCTGACCTCACCCAGGACCAGCACCTCATGAAACTGCAGGATGGTTACAAAGACTTCATTTGGGCCCCAGTTCCAGCAAAATGATGAATTAAAAGATAACCTGAAAATTTCTACTACAAATGCCTGGAACTTCTGAAGAAAACAGTTTACTCATTTATTTATTATTTTTTTGAGACAGGGTCTTGCTGTATAGTTCAGGCTAGCCTCGAACTCACCATGTAGGCCAGCAATCCTTCTGCCTCAGCCTCCCAAGTGCTAGGATTGTAAGTGTGCGCCACCAGGCCCACCAAAACAGAATATTAAAAATCATTTAATTTTTTTTGTTTTTTAATGTATAATGTGGGACTGAGATACATAATCCAAAAGTACAAAAAGTAAATGAAAATAAAGTATCCATCCATCCTTTTTTACCCACTACCAGTCTCTTCCCTGGGAGGAATTCCTAACCATCCCATTTTATATATCCTTCTTAAATTAAATGGAAAATTTTTAAACATATACTGTGTCTTATGTTAATGCAATTTATCTTAAATGCAGGGCAAAGATTGGAAGATAGAAATGAAAGTGCCCAGGTGCTAGAATCAAAAGAGAACTTTAAAGTAGTCCAGCAATTTAGAAGTTTTAATGTTTATGTGTACACAAGACTTTAAGCCCAGGGGAAGCAGTAAATTGGAATTGAGATCCCTAAGCAAATTAAGAACCTCAAAATCTGGACTTGCAGTGGAAAGCTGAGCAAAAAAAAACAAAAAAAACAAAAAACAAAAAAAACCAAAACCTTCCTCCCACAAGAGTGAAACAAGAGTGACTAAACCCAAAGTCAGCTCACCCTTTGCATGGAGTTGGGTCTAAATTTTACCTCCTGCATGATTGAGGGGATCAGGCAGAGAAGTTACCATCAACACTGCCCCTGAGATCTGGCCTTTCCTGCCCAGACTCTGTGTTTCCAGGTAGGAGGACTAGGCCAGGATTTTATTCAGTACCAGACTTATCTCCATACAATTTCCTCTCGTCCTTTACCTTGAAAGTCTCTGCCATCCTAACACCTAACACTCATGAGCACTGAAGCTTAAAAAAGTAGAACTAGCACTCGGGAGGCTGAGGCAGGAGGATCGTTGTGAATTCGAGACCAGCCTAGGCTACAAAATGAACTGAAGGCCAGCCTGAACTGCATAGTGAGACCCTGTCTCAAAAAGATAAAAAAAAAAAAAAAAAAAAAAAAAGACAAAGCAGAACTGATGTGGCCTCGTGTGGGCATCTGATCTGGATGGTGAGCTTGCCTGCCACCCTAGCTGACTGGCAACTTCCATTTGTGCTACTGTCCTCTACACTGACAGGCTCTCCTGGGGGCCATTGGTCTGATTAGCATTCTCTCAGTAACGGCACCACTCTCTTTGCTGTTCTGATCAAAATCCAGGGTGGCCTGGCAGATGAGAGAAGGATGTATGTGTCAGCATGCTGAGTCCTGTCTTACTCCATGTCCCCTCATTCCACACCTAGTGTTGCAGGCCACCTCAGGAGCTAGGGTGGGGGAGAACGGACCTCAGTCTCTCCAGGAAACACAGACTGTGGATGCGGCGGGATACATTCTTACCGTCACCCCGCAGCCCCAAATGGAGTATCACTAGCTGCTCCATCGCAATGGAGGAAGAAGATTCCTCCAAGGAGACAGGAGAAGGGCATTCCACACAGAGGAAGCAGCCTGTAACACGGTATGAGGTAACTATTGTATTTAGGGAACCCCAAGAATCCCAGAGTGGGAGTCTGGGGGAGAAGAGGCAAGGGAAGGGGCAGTTCACTTTAGATTCTATGCTGAAGGCACTGAGAATAGAGGTTTTAAGTGGGGAAGGTACAAGAGCCTTTCCTGCCCAGGCACAGGTGTGCAAGCTACAGAACAGAGCCATGAGGAAAGATACTGACCCTGGCTATCCGGCCAGTTACCCTGTTGTACCCAGGAAAGAAGGGCAAAGGGCTGGCCCGAGACCACATCTTTCTCTTTTCTTGCCCTCTCACCTCATTTTATTTTTTGTTTGCTTGGGGTTTTTTTTGTTTTTTTCTGGTACCGGGAATCGAACTCACGACCTCACACTTGCCAGGCAGGCGCTGTGCCGCTGAGCTAAATCCCCAGCCCCTCTCACCTCATTTTAACTACACTATCTCCCCCCTCCTCCAGGGAACTGAATCATTCTCCAAAATTCAAGAATGAGAGGTAGCAAAGTTTCACAAAGCTCTTGAGGCCTGGAAAAATCCATTGGGTGCCTCCAGGAAACTACCACAGACACTTCCTGGAGCACCTGCTGTCTTCTGAAGAGACCTTTCCTCAGTCCCTCACAGAACATCTAGGGACATTTCTTCCATCACTTTATCATGGACAGCATCCAAAGTTCATGCCAGATTAGAAAGCTGAAGCAGCCACTGTGTCCAGGAGCCTTGGTCACTGGCATTCCTGGGACAAATGAAGGGTCCTGTGGTTTGGTTCCCTGTAAGTGTCTCAAAGCCCTGGGCAGAGGCCTGCTTCATCCTGGGAAGAAAAGTCAACAGACAGAACCAAGGGTGGGCCTAAGTTCTGCCATGCTGCCCTCCCCATAGCACCTACCTGAAGATCATGTGGTACTGATCGATGTCACTGAGGCCAGAGCCCTGTGGGATTTGTGAGTTCCTCAACACCACACAAGTCACACAGTAGAAATCAGAATGGTGCACCAAAGATCTGGGAATCACTTTCAACATCTTCTCCCACACTCTGCCAAGCTCACTTACTAAGTTCCCACCCTGGTAACAGCAGGAGAAAGAGGTTGAGGGGCTGGGGCCAGGTATTAGCTTCCAGTAGAAGGAAGATGGGGCCAGGTATCAGCTCCCAGAGATGAGGGACTGAGGCTAAAGAAGGGAGAAGGACTCAGCCAGGCAAGGGCAGGGGTTTGGGGGAGAAAACAGGAAAGGACTAGGCATGGGGAGGGAGTTTTACAGGGCCCGTGCTGACCACCGACCAGCCTCCAGGAAACTTTTGTCCCCGTGAAGTATGCTCCAGTCTCCCCATGGCATGCTCCAAACCAATTCCATTCTCCAACTCTGTGGTGACAGGAAGAGCAGTTGCAGGTTCCAGAAGGAAATCTGAACCAAGGGTGGTTGTAATGCCATGGGACCAACCACCTCTGTTTTTGTTGGAGTGCTAATTCAGGGGCCAGATCCAGGTAGGGGGCCATCAGCCACAAGATGGGCACCCAAAAGATGAACAGGACAAAAATCTTCCACCAATGCTTCATGTCTGGCTCAGGCAATGGCTCATGTGGCAGGCAGCTGACGGGCTTCTCCACCTGGAAGATTGTGGGGCTGAGGCTACCTACACACAGTACCAACTGCCCTCCATCCTGCTGGCCTCCACAGCTTCCCAACACTGTATGCCCCACACTCCTCCAACCTCTCATATCCTGCCTCCCCCTCCATTTCCTTACCTCCAAAGTGAATGTGGGCTGGGCTGAGATGGAAGATGCCAGGGAGACGATTTCTACATCACTGAAGAGGAGACTCCCAAAACTTTAGTTAGAATTATTTAAAAAAAAAGGGGCTGGGGATTTAGCTCAGCGGCAAAGCGCCTGCCTGGCAAGCACAAGGTCGTGAGTTTGGTTCCCGGTACCGGAGAAAAA